ACGTGCTATGGTGCAATCTTGCTCACTTGCAACCTCTGGCCCGGGTTAAGCGAGCTTCTCCTGCCTCAGCTCCCTAAGTAGCTGGGCTATACAGGTAGCCCCGGCCATCTTTCCATTATTTTTTGGTATTTTTTTGTAGAGACAAGGTTTCACCACGTTGGCGTAGGCTGTTCAAACTCCTGACTCAGAGTGATCTACCCGCCTCGGCTTCCCAATGCTGGATTACAGGTGTGAGTCACCTCTGCCCAGGCCTATGACAGCATTTAATTGGATGTGATGTGGTCAGGTTTGCAACTCAGGCTCAAGTGTGGAAGCTTCGCATCCTGGAGAGAGGAAGGTCCAGGGGGACTGTTTGGAGAAATTCTTGTGAGAGATGAGAGGGAACCTGGCATAAGGGCAGCATAGCAGCAGGGAGATTGTGAGGGGATAGAATTTTTTTTTTTCCTTTGAACAGGTCTCAGCTCTGTAGGCCAGAGTGGAGTGCAGGTGCCGGGGATCTCGCTCACATGCAAGCTCTGCCTCCGGGGGTCACACCATTCTTCCTGCCTCAGGCCTTCTGGAGTGGGCTGGGGTACATACAGGCGCCGCCACCTCGCCCGGGCTAGTTTCTTTTGAAAAAAAAAAAAAAACTATGCTGTTTCATGTCTCCATGTTCCCACTCATGCTGTTCCTCCTATCTGGAATCCAACACATCCTATCCACCTCCTCTTCTTTGCCTGGCTAACTCCTCATCCTTCTAGGTTCAGGATCTCCAGAAACCTCTCTTTTACCTCCCTTCCTCCCACTGACTCTCCTGTGCTCCCCCAGGATACTGTGGGCACTGCTCTCACAGTACTGTGCTGAAACTCCCTACTATATTTGTGTCCTCTCAGCAAGGCTCGGAAGCACTGACTGGGGTCTCATTCTTCTTGTATCCCTAACACTGAGCAACTTGCATAGCAGAGAACAAAATAAATATTGGCTAAATTCTAGAGATTCCATCATTAAGTTCTGCCCACCATGTCCCAAGGATTCCTGCTCACCTGTACTTGTGAGCGCAACTGATCCATCTTCTGTTGCTGCTTCTCCACAATCTGAAAGGCAAAGTTATCAAGGAAGGCTGCCAGCACAAGGCTGACAGTGAGGTCAGAGGGCAAGAGGGCTGCACTAGGACATGTGGTCTGGCTATTAGACCATTAAGAGCGAGACCAGGATACAGATTAGTGAACTCTACCTACAGAAATATAAACCAGACTCCTAATCCTGGCTAACTAGCTTCACAGTACTGTGCTCCAATCACCAAGGTTTATACAGGAATGTAGTGTGGACCCATGACCACTACTGGGGAAAGGGAACTCTCACCCTAATAACTGCAGGCCAGTGGAATCAACTTTATATATAGCCAGTGCAAACTCTTGTTCTTTGGTACAAGGACATGGCTAAAAATTCAGTTTAATGAAGGTTGCCATTTCTAGCGCTATTATGGTGGTTGTTATTTACAGCTTTGGTCATACTGATTATCCAAGAAGGGACCCTAAACAGGCCTGGTTTCTTGTCTTTTAAAGACTGCAGGTGTTCTCTGAATCAATTCAGGGTTTCTATATGGGCCTGAGCCATGAAAGTACACCAAACTTTACTGTACCATTTTGGGTCATCTAATCTAGACATTCAGAGGCATATCACCCCTCCTCTTACTTTTGCCTATATTCTACGTGAGTCAAGTTTGCCTGTTATAAGGATGACATTCTAAATACAAATTACTATACAGGGTGACTTCTCAGAAAAGAAAGAAAAGCTCTTGGTAACAAATCCTAGATAGCCCAAAGCCAAGAATTCATGTCTGCCTCCCAATACACAACCTTCTCTTTCCTCCCAGCCTACCCTCCGTTACAGCCTGGACATCCTCAGTCACCTTTTGGAGCGAATTGTATTGCTTCTGCCAGGACTCCATTTCCACTTCTGGACCTTCTCCACTGGTCTCCTCCACAGACTGTTTATCTTGCAGGCTGAAAGACAGTGGCCCCTTCAAGAACTCTGAAGTTAGAGACAAGTGGCTTTGATTCTTGGTTCTGCTATTTATTGAACATTTTGAGGCAAGACATTTAGTCCCCTCCAAGCGGTAGCTGGGGATAATACTTAGGTCTGTTGTAATATAAGGGGTGCCACACAAAAGCTGCTCAGTGTATGTTAATTCTCTTCCCTAGGGGCCAGAATCTATACAATGTTACACCAATTCTCTACCTGCCCAAGGCTCTTGTATATTTTGTTTTGATATTTTAAAAATACATATTTATCACATGTATTTAGATTGTAAGTCATACATGTACATTGTAGGAAGTTCAGAAAATACAAAAGCTGTTTTCTTGGCACACACAGTCTGGCGCAAAGCCAACTTTGTCCTCTAACCCCACTTCTGACTCTGACCAATGGTTTCCTCCAGTGGGTCCCTACAATTACTTATAGCAAAGCCCAACTGCTGAGATAAACAACAGGGACACTGTGGTTAAATATGGCATGAGAAATCCAATCTATCCCATTAGAAACTGGAATTGGTCCAAGAGGCTGTTGAAACACAGAAACTGCTATTAATATGGAGGAGATTCCCAAGACACCCTGAGAGTACATTATGGCATCTTGTTTGTTCTCAGAACCTGTCATGGCAATGGAGAACAATCCCTAGGGCTGAGGAGAAACAGATGTTCCTGGTAGCCTTTATTAACTACATGGCTCGAACTGTGGATAACTCTCAGTTCTTACCACCAGTACACACTTTTGAAAGTATACAGATACCTCATTTCCCAGTTTATAAAGTGCTTTCATTTATTCAACACATACATACTAAGAATTATGTGCCAGACACGGGGTTAGATCCTTACAAAGGCTATGAAGATATAAGCCCCCACTGCATCCCTACTCCATGCCAAAGATATAAAAGCTGCTTCCTTATTATTCACAGTCCAAAGAAAACAAAGCTCAAGAGAAGTAAAATGATTTTCCCAAATCACCCAAAGTCACACAGGTAAGTAAGCAGGATGGCTATGACAAAAAACTCTCTCCATTCCTCTCAATCCCACAGGGTTATTTACCTATGTCCAGCAGAGGAAAATTCTGCTTCTCTCTGCCTCAGGCTTTCCAGTTGAGTCTCCCTGTCTCTGCAGATTGCCTGGGTCTCCTCCAGCAAACTCTCCAGCTCAGTCACTTTCTCCTGCAGCTCTGTGCTCTTCAACTCAGAATCCTTAAGCTGAGAAACAGGATCCCACATTTAGGTCAAATAAGTCAAGTGTTAGAAATGCAAAATGCTTGTTCCTTGGTGTCACAAAGAAATAGCACTCAAACATACATTTAATTTCCCCAGCAAGGCAATTTTTACTTTCTGCAGAAAGGGTGCTCCTCGCAGATGGAACAATGGCAAAAGCACAACTGGACAGGGGAAGGGAAGGAGTTCTTATTCCTGAAGCAGGTCGTCCTTACTGCTATGTTGTTCCCCTATTGGCTAGGGTTGAACCACACAGTCTAAGCTAATTCTGATTGGCTATTTTAAAGAGAGCAGGTGTATGAGCCAGAGTGGGGGGGTGGTGAGTAGTTTGGTGGGAAGGACAGTTAGGAACAAGTAACTAAAGGTGACTTAGGTCAGAGCAGGTGACCGGGGAGACTCAGGTCAAAGCAGGTGACCGGGATGAGTCAGGACAGAGCAGGTGACCAGGGGAACAGATGTGAACTACTGATTAAAACTGGTGGAAAAGGTTGTTTAATGAAACTAGAAGCAAGAGGGCGAAGAGAACCTGGAAGTTCAACTTTAAAATAAAGAGTAAGAGAGCTGAACATACTGATTCTTTGAAGAGAAACTTGGGGTTCACTATATTTAACATAAGGAAGACTCTGGGTACCTCAAAAATTTGCAGTCTGGTTACAAATCTGACAAATGTGAATCTGGACATGACTGCTTTGGGATTATCCTTTCAGGAAGTCACAGGATAACTGCATACAGCAGATGATGAAAAAGTTCCCCTGCCTGGCCACTCCCTGATCACCCCAGGCATGCCAAGACATTGCTGCTACCTGCTGGCTCTGCTTCTGATGGTCTTCCAGGGTGGGCAGGTCAGCCAGGTAGCGCTCCAAGGTCTCAATACGCTGCTGCTTCTCCCGGTTCTGCTCTGATTCCTTCTGACATTTCTTTTTCAAATTATTTATATGTTTATCGCGACCTTTGACCTAGAAGAAGAAATGTCAAGTTTGTCTCTACCCTTCACTCCACTATGACCCTGCTGGAGTGCAGTGGTGTGATCTCAGCTGACTGCAGCCTCCACCTCCCAGGCTCAAGTGATCCTCCTACCTCAGCCCCTGGAGTAGCTGGGACTACAGGCACATGCTACCACGGCAGGCTAATTTTTCTATTTTTTGTAGAGACAGGGTTTTGCCATGTTTTTCAGGCTGGTCTCCAACTCCTGGCCTCAAGCCATTCACCCAACTTGGCCTCCCAAAGTGGTAGGATTACAGGCATGAGCCACCACACCCAGCCACATCAACTTTTTTTGAAGCAACCCTTGAGGTTGTGAATGTTGTTCTACTGCAATGAAGGTAGGAAGCTAAATAAATTTTGCCATTTAGGATTTGAGTATAAAACTAAAGAATTAATGAACTTTCAAATCAAGGACAGAGAAAGGCTTCTAGGGCAGTTTTTAAAAACTGGCAGCATTTCTGTTGTGAAATACAGAATTTGTCTGGTCTCTGTACCTGGTTCCTGGGAGGTAACCTCTAAGCCCTTGGAATTTCCTGAATTGGACAGTAGTGGGCCAGAACCCATCATGAGTAAATTTATGCGAATACTATGACTCAGAATGGATGCAGATCACCAGAAAAACCAACTGCTTTGAACCTAATCTACTATGGGGAAGGGAGAGGGATGGGTGATTGAGTTTCATCATGCCTACATAAATGAAACTCCAACTAAAAACTCTGGACACAGAAGCTCACTGGAGCTTCCTGGTAGGTAAACACATAAATGTGCTGTGTTTACATGCTCTTATTCCACACAAGGAGAGGGCATGGAAGCTCTGCTCTCAGGATGCTCCTGGACCTCACCCTATGTCTCTCTTCATTTGGCTGGTCCTGAATTGTATCCCACCCCCTCACCCCCTTTTTTTTGAGACAGAGTTTCGCTCTTGTCACCCAGGCTGGAGTGCAGTGGCACGATCTTGGCTCACTGCAACCTCCGCCTCCCAGGTTCAAGTCATTCTCCTGACTCAGCTTCCTGAGTAGCTGGGATTACAGGCACCCGCCACCACGCCCAGCTAATTATTCTATTTTTAGTACAGAATAATACTGTACTAAAAATGGGATTGGATTTCACTATGTTGGCCAGGCTGGTCTTGAACCCCTGACCTCAGGTGATCCACCTGCCTTGGCCTCCCAAGGTGCTGCGATTACAGGCATCACACACTGCGCCCAACCCTGAATTGTATCACTTATAATAAAACTGTAATAATAAGTATAGTACTTTCCTGAGTTCTGTGAGTAATTCTGGGAACTATTAAATCTGAAGGTCACAGAAGCCAGTTGGTCAGAAATACGAGTGGCCTGAAGACCCCAGAATTTGCTATTGGCATCTGGAGTTTTGTTGAGAACTGTACCCTTAAACCTGTGGAGTCTGACACTAACTCCAGATGGTCTGCATCTGAATTGGACTGCAGAAGTATACATAACTTTCTGATAAGACATATAACCAGTTTGGTCAGAAAAGTAATATATTCTTCCCTAAATACCATACATGATATAAAGCCATGCAATCAACTGGAAAGGCTAATGAGACTTGAGAGAAAGAGCTATGTCTGTTTGCTAATTATCACATCCTAAACACACAGCAGAATGCCTGGCACAGAGCAGGTATTCAATAAAGATTTGAACAGAGGCTTTCTCTTCACCATTATGGTGCTTTGTTTTATTTTGTTTGCTTACGAACAAGGAAGCTGAGGAAAACAAGAGAAAACAGAAAAAGTGATGCAGATATATTAAATGTCAAAAAGGAGACAAAGGCCTAATTTAATCCAAAGATATAACAGTACTAAGATCGATCCCTGAAAATCAGTCAAAAGCTTTATCCTAGGTCCAATCTGTACTCTTAAATCTCTGAACCAGTGATTTTCACATTTCAGTATGTATCAGAATCACCTGGGAAGCTTACTGAAAATGGTAAACTGACCATAAATGTTTATGTATTCTCCCTTCCAAAAACATCTTTAAAATGACAGAAAATAAATAAAGTATCAACTGAGAAACAACAGGGGAGGAAACAAAATTTTGTCTAGGAAAGATTTTTTTTTTTTTTTTTTTTTTTTGAGACGGGGTCTCGCTCTGGGACCCATGCTGAAGTGCCGTGATATGAACACAGCCCACTGCAGCCTTGATCTCCTGGGCTCAAGTGATGCTCCCACCTCAGCCTCCCAAGTGGCTTAGACTACAAGCATGTACCACCACGCCCAGCAAATATTTAAAAAAAAAATTTTTTTTTTTGAGACGGAGTTTCGTTCTTGTTGCCCAGGCTGGAGTGCAGTGGCGCGATCTCGACTCACTGCAACCTCCACCTCCCGAGTTCAAGCGATTCTCCTGCCTCAGCCTCCCAAGCAGCTGGGGTTACAGGCGTCCACCACCACGCCCAGCTAATTTTTTGTATTATTGGTAGAGACAGGGTTTCACCATGTTGGCCGGGCTGGTCTTGAACTCCTGACCTGACGTGATCCGCCTACCTCGGTCTCCCAAAGTGCTGGGATTACAGGCGTGAGCCACCGAGCCTGACTTAAAATTTTTTATAGAGATGGAGTCTCGCCATGTTGCCCAGGCTGTTCTTGAACTGGGCTCAAGCAATTCTTCTGCCTTGGCCTCCCAAAGTACCAGGATTAACAGGAGTGAGCCACCATGCCCAGTTTATGAAAGATTTTAACGTTTTTAAAAGGTGAAAGTGAACAGGGGAGATAAATGACATGGGGCAGAAAAGTTACAATCTGTAGTGGGAGTTACAGACAACAGGGAAGAAAATCTGCTCCTCCCAACTCCCAAGAGCCTCTGAAGTACCAGCTCAAGATGGAGGCAAGTATCAACCACAGATCTGAAAAACAGGGGAATTCCCTAGAAATCTACATACAAGTTAGCTAGATATCAGCCCCACCCTGGGTTTCCCCATCAGCAGACTATTCTCCGAAGAAATCAATGAGAGAGATTCCCGACTCAAGAGTACCCAGTCACAGCAGAGAGGGTGAAGTATTGGGTTGAAAACAAGTAAAAATCCATGTATATGGCCGGGTATGGTGGTTCACACCTGTAATCCCAGCACTTTGGGAGGCTGAGGTGGGAGGATTAGTTGAGGTCAGGAGCTCAAGACCAGCCTGGCCAAAATGGTAAAACTCCATCTCTATAAAAAGTATAAAAATTAGGCCGGTGCAGTGGCTCAAGCCTGTAATAATCCTAGCACTTTGGGAAGTCAAGGCGGGCGGATCACCTGAGGTCAGGAGTTTGAGACCAGCCTGAGAAACATGGCAAAATCCTGTCTCTACTAAAAATACAAAAATTAGCCGGGCAAGGTGGTGGGTGCCTGTAATCCCAGCTACTCAGGAGGCTGAGGCAGGAGAACCGCTTGAACCCAGGAGACGGAGGCTGTAGTAGCCGAGATCAGGCCACTGCACTCCAGCCCAGACAATAGAGCGAGACTCTGTCTCGGAAACAAAAAAAACAGCCAGGCGTGGTGGTACATGCCTGTAATCCCAGCTACTCAGGTGGCTGAGGCATGAGAGAGAATAGTTTGAACCTGGGAGGCAGAGGCAGCAGTGAGCCTAAATCATGGCACTGCACTCCACCCACTCCACAGTCTCCAGCAAGACTGTGTCTCCAAAAAAAAAAAAAAATTCCATGTCTAGAACTGTGGGGACTCTAAGCCCAATCTCAACACAGAGAATCCAAAGGCTAAAAAGCATTCCTGCCTCTAGCCTCTCCACCAGAGAGCAGGTTGAAGATTCTTCCCTAGAGAGAGTGAGAGAAGACATCCAGATACTGACATTTGAGCGTTCCCAAGTGAAAAGGGTAGCCTAAGTCTGATCCTACACTGAAGTCCAACAGGTAACCACCATGAATCCACAGCTTTCATCCAGCTTTTAAATGCTTCCTTTTTATTTTTTTGAAGGAGTCTCACTCTCATCACCAAGGCTGGAGTGCGGTGGTGCGATCTCAGCTCACTGCAATCTCCACCTCCCGGGTTCAAGCGATTCTCCTGCCTCAGTCTCCCGAGTAGCTGGGATTACAGACACCCACCACCAAGCCCAGCCAATTTTTGCATTTTTAGTAAAGACAGGATTTCGCCATGTTGGCCAGGCTGGTCTCAAATTCCTGACCTCAGGTGATCCGCCCGCCTTGGCCTCCCAAAGTGCTGGGATTACAGGCGTGAGCCACCGCACCCAGCCTGCTTCCTTCTTGAATACGAATGCCCGTCTATTCAATGATCACCAAGCCTCTAATATGAAAGACACCAAAAACAGAAAAAAGGACCTTAAGGAAACAAGAAATATTATAAACAGATATAAACATCCAAAACAATTACAATCAATATTGTTGGGGAGATACTGTTCTCATGAAACAAAAACAGATGTCTAAAATTCACTGAAGAAAAAAAGTGCAGGAAAAGCATACTATTCAGAAATACAGCTGTCCCTTGGCATACATGGGGGACTGGTTCCAGGACCACCTGTGTATATCAAAATCTGCTCATACTTGAGTACCATAGTTGGTCCTGTAGAAACCGCATATATGTCGGCCCTCCATACACTCTGGTTTTGCATCTCTTGAATATGTGATTTTTTATCTGCGTTTGGTTGAAAAAAAAATACACGTACAAGTGGAACTGTGCAGCTTAAATGTATTGTTCCAAGGTCAACTATATATATCAGAGGAAAGAGGAGAGCTCTAGATAGATACTACTGTGGGGTTGTGCTGGGGTACAGAACTACTAATCTTTTTTTTTCAGACAGTGTCTTGCTGTTACCCAGACTGCAGTGTAACTGTGAGATCATGGCTTACTGCAGCCTTGACCTTTTGGGCTCCAGTGATTCTCCCACCTCAGCCTCCTGAATAGCTGGGACTACAGGTGGCACCACCACACCTGGCTAATTTTTAAAAAATTTTTTGTAGCTTTCACCACTCGGCAGACACTCAACCCAGCCACTTCCAGGTCCCTGCCATCCTGCTCCTTCCCTTCCTGGGAACCAGCCCAGTTCTGAGCCGCCCACCGAGCCTCCGGGAATGCCTGACTATAAGCTGGCTTTAATCTTGACAGCCATGCCGTGGCCAGAGACTTCTGCTACTTTGAAATGTATGATACAAGCCCTGATGAACAGAGGAACAATAGTGAGGGACTTGGAAAACCTGGGCGAATGGGCACTTCCTTATAAGATCTCTGTCAACAGCACAGCAGAGGTGGGTATTTCTTGGTGAATTTTTATGCACCAACCACAACTGTTGAAAGCATGATGGAGCACTTGTCTAGAGATGCAGATGTGATTAGACAGACTATTGTGAAACATCCCAGGAACTAAAAGAATATGAAGAGATTGTCCTAGTCTCACTTGATGAAAAACTATATTCCACGAAGCAGCAGCAGTGAGGGCCAGGTGCAGTGGCTCACATCTGTAATCCCAACACTTTGGGAGGCCAAGGTGGGTGAATCACCTGAGGCCAGGAGTTCAAGACCAGCCTGGCCAACAATAGTGAAACCCTGTCTCTATTAAAAGTACAAAACTTAGCCCAGCGTGGTGGCATGCACCTATCATCCCAGATACTTGGGAGGCTAAGTCACAAGAATGACTTGAGCCAGAGAGGTGGAAATTGAAGTGAGAAGATTCACTAGACTTTAGCCTTATATAGAATTCCTTCACATTTGAGCAGCATGGATAAGAAAGAATAGTTTGCAAGCCTGGCCTTTATTTGAGTGTGTTGCAGGTGCTGTTTGATTTTTCTAAAGTATTTTTAGCCCATACTACCCTTTGCTGCAAGAAGTAAGGAACTGCTCACTGACAAGCTTCTCTAACATCTCTGGCACCAGTGGATCATTCTTGATTTTGTTTTCATTAGTGTCATTTCTTTGTCAGCGAGGACTTTTCCCCTTCCAACAGTCACACCCTCCGCCCCCCGCCTTTTTTTTTGAGACAGAATCTCACTCACTCTGTTGCCCAGACTGGAGAGCAGTGGTGTGATCTCGGCTCACTGCAACATCTACCTCCCGGGTTCAAGCGACTCTCTTGTCCCAGCCTCCTAAGTAGCTGAGGTTACAGGCACCCACTACCACATCCAGCTTTTTTTTTTTTTTTTTTTGAGACGCAGTCTTGCTCTGTCACCAGGCTGAAAGTACAGTGGCGTGATCTTGGGTCACTGCAACCTCCGCCTCCCGGGTTCAAGCGATTCTCCTGCCTCAGCCTCCCCAGTAGCTGGGACTATAGGCGTGTGCCACCACACCCAGCTAATTTTTTGTATTTTTAGTAGAGATGGGGTTTCACTATGTTGGCCAGGACGGTCTCAATCTCCTGACCTTGTGCCTTGTGATCTGCCCACCTCAGCCTCCCAAAGTGTTGGGATTACAGGTGTGAGCCACCGTGTCCAGCCAGCAAAAACAAAACTTATAATACCACCTGGGATTGTAAACTAGTCATTCAGACTGCATAACCACGTAGAAATAAAAATTGAAGAGCAATGTATTATATGGGCAAATTTTGCTCTGAGTAATAAACCTGATTTTAGGG